TTGTCGGCTGATAAATTAACAAATTCTGTATGCGACTAAAAAAAAGGAAATTTTTTCTTTTAATACTGTATTTATTTCGAGAGTAATCGAGAGGTTTATGATAAACCGCGATCACTCTGTATAACACGATAAATATTTTACTTGATTTAGTTTCAAACTATGAAGATGGATACTGTGTATACATAACCATGTAAATACTATGTTCCGTTAGTAAACGCTTTAAAATTAGTCACATTTACCGACAAAATTTAGTGAACTTCGGCTTTGGTAACGGATAACGTCTAGTAATTTAGTTTTCGGATAGTGTTTATTATTTTATTTTGGAGTGTACAGTATCAGTTTTACTTGATGTAAGTTTATATTAAAAATTGAAAGCAAAAAAATATGATATGCCGTTGACGTTTCTCTCGAAAATTGTTCACTGTGCGTTTTAAATATCGACCAGTACGAGTTGGACCCACTTGGCTACATACCCAATTTCTGTTTCAAAATTTTAGTAACTGAACAAATGTACTCGTCCTAAAATTGTTATTGAGCCATTAATTTTTAGCTTCGATACGAAGCTAAGAAGGTATTAATGTGTTTTTTTTAATAACTTTACATAACGGCCGTTTTGAAAAATATGATAACAAAATGATAATTATATACATTAATACAATAATTACATTATAACGTGTTGTTTTTATTTCCAGTGACGTACGCGCATTTTTAGTCTACGTTAGAATCATCTATTTTATTAATCAACAATAACAAATTTTATTTTTTTTAAATAACTAGTTTTTAGCACTTATCTTACAAACATTTTAATACGCACAGAGTGGGTATGTACCCGCTGGACGGGTACATCTCATACCGATGTGTGAAGAGCGATTATTTTAATATTAGCCACTCGATTTCTCTTAGAAAAAAAACCTTTGATATGTTTATAGTTTCACATATTTCTGGATTTATCAATTACTATACGTTCTTTTAATTCGTCCTTTTCACCTTATGGGGGGTAAACTTTATTTTTTTAAATCAGGACACTACAAACGAATATACGACACTAAAATAAACCAAAAAGAATTTATCCGTAACGTAATTGAAATTAAGTGAGACGTCGAGCGGCTAATATAAAAAAAATTACAAAATGTATTCATAACGCATAATCCACCCGCTTTACATACCCGCCCGATGTATAAAAATACTCAATAATTAAACATTCTTCAAAAACGACTATTTTGAAAATTAAAAAAAAAATTTCGTTTATTTGATACAAATGTTATAAAATATGATTTTAACGTAATCTAAGAATATTTCTTAAAAAAATGACTACTAAAATTAACTTAAGATAATCAAATTCATTCTGCGTACATATTTTTTAATCGTAGTTGATTTCAATATAAAATGCGCGAAATCTAATAGAAGAGTGTAGGCAACTGAAACATTATGTCGCGTCATAATTGCCATTCATCACTTCCTCTTAACAGGAAAGATAAATTTGGTCGTGAAAAGATTTGTCGGCATTTGTTTCTTGCCGAGCAGTAATGAAAAAATGATAGTACGATGGAGTACTCTTGATCGTTACGTTTAAAATAATCTAACACTGTAGCCACCTTTTCATTCATCCTGTCGTCAGCTTACAATAAAAAGAAGTATTTTATTCATAAAAATGTTGTGTTTACCTGGTTATTACTGCATGAGGTTTTTTTATGTAATATCCAGCAATATATGTACAGGTAAGACGAGCGACGGGGGGTCGATAGTTCGTAAGCTAATTATCTGACTACAAAATCTTGAAAATCATTGAAAAATAATAACGAGTTGGGTTTATTTATGTTACAACGGACGACGACGACATTTCCTATAATTGTAAAATCAAACATATTTGTATAAAAAAAAAAATTATATCCCTATGAGTAAAACAAATTAAGCATTTCTTTTGTTTTCAGTAAAATTCATTTGTTTGCGTTGAACCGTACAAGTACAACTCGCAATATTAATTCACAATAATCATTTCAATTTTACTACAATCGTATTTTGGATTACGTTCAAAGGATTTCAGTAGGAAGCCTCAAGTGTTTCAAATTAAGCGGTTCTCCTCTACGAGTATTTTAAATCGTACACGAATTCGTGAAACCTTTAACACGTAGACTCGCGTGAAAAACTTAAGGTTATTGTTATTAAAACTGCAGTTTTAATAACCAAGACCTGATTTAACAAATAATAACAACGACAAATGTTACCGTCGACATTAGACAATAATGAGACAAAAGGATTGATCAACAGAAAAATCAATAGCTCTTACAAACACTACGCATTTTCACATACTCCTCCGTTGAAAAAAAAAACGGTCTTAAAAGAATGCTCAATAAATTCTTTTTGGCGCATAAATGATAAAAACAAAAAATAAAATCACGGTCATTTATACACTTAGATATATCTAAACGTTACATGAGGTTATAACCTCGACGGTGGAGACAAAAATGTACTCCAGTGTTAACAATGTAAGATACAAAGCTCTCGATATAAATTCCTTTCGATTAAATCCTCTCGGATTTATAGTATTATACACATTAATAGTATAATAATATACTAGTTGTTATATCCACGATTATAATATATTATATATAATATATATAAAATATACTTTTAGCTACTCTATCGATCATTTTTCACCGTCAATTAATTATTAACAAAGTAATGCAACTTACGTCTGATCCGACAACAATTAACGAAAGCATTTATTTTTCATCGTATTTTTTGTATTTATGTGCACATTAATATTATAATATACTAATTATTATTGCATTCTCTTCGATCGAAACAAACAATTATGCAAACAATACGCGTGGAAAACCAACAAAAATCTTACATGTTATTTTTTTTAAGTCATTCAAGTGTAGTGATATTATTCAGCAAATTACACGTTGAAAAAGCGTTGCAATGAGCATTTACTCGACGTTATTAGTTCGTTTTTCGGACAAATATTAACATTTACGACTTTTTTCCGCATGAATATACCTAAAAGGACACGACAACAATTTCTAACAAAATGATAAACGACAAACAAGCCCTCGTGAAAGTCGTCGATAGTAGCTCGAGTCACTGTCGACTAGAAACTATATTTAATTAGAATCGTGTGTAGTAATAGAATGGGGAGCTCAGAGGCATTAGAAAAAAACTTTTCTATTGCTGTAAAGTTTTGTGATGAAATTTTTACAATATCTAGTAGCAAATCGGTTGAATTGTATTGAATTTTTTTTTCACGAATTCGTAAGGTTAAAATAACCGCAGGAAATCGAAAGTATTGTAGTGAAATCGCTTTAAGGTTTATTTCAATTGTTTAAGGTTTTTAATCTTAAATAATCCTGAACTTTTTTCTTGTCAAATTTTAAGTTCAATTAATTGTTTTAAACGGGCGGCGGTCTTACAGTATTTTTCGTTTATGTAATCATTTATTCGACTCGTATAAAAAAAAAATTCTATATAGATATGAAGTAATTCTTACCAGTTATAAGAATAAAACTGAATAGAAAAAAACCGCAATTATCTCGGTTCCTAGCCAGTCATTTTGAGACAACGATAAAAATAACAGCCATTTAAAATAAACGAAGGCTCTCGTGTTTATATTGCACACAATTTTGTTTTTATCATACGCCAATAACATTAATTAGGGTTAGGAATTATATGCACTGATAAATTCTTGTTAAGTTATATAAATAAGTTGTTCTTAACCACCAGCGACCTGCACAAGTTTTTATTAATCGACTTAAAAATTTAATTAATGCGATATGTATGTTAACGATCTTATTGTTTGAGGGAAGGGGTGAGGAACTTTTAACTACGCTAAACAAACGCTAGGTTACTATATAGCGCTCCTAATCTTTCGACAAAATCGCACCGATTTTGAACCAAGTGATTCAAAACAATAATTATAAATCCATACAATTCCTGGCCCCCTAATAACAGAAGAATGATAATGGGTTACTAAATGAACAGCATATATAGTATGTGGAAGGATGTGGATATTGGACAACAGATCTTACGACATTAGTATATTATTAATAATCCAGACAAGATTTAAACGCGTCTAAAAAATCAAAATGTGCTCGTGCAATATTATTTCACCATTCGTCGTAGTGAAAGTGCGTGTAATAAACGTGATGTAAATAAATTAGAAATAATTTCACCGAATTAATCGTTAAATGTATTGTTTATTGTATAATTAGAATTCGTTGAGGGTACAAACGAGTCATGTAGTCGTCAGTGGTGGGTACACAACATATAATACGTGTTTATATATTATATAAATNCGCAAGAAACCGTGGCTGGCAAAACCCCACATACATCCTCCCGTTACCAGCGCATTAATATAGATAACTCTGTACCCGACCGAACAAACGATTGTGAGGTTGATCGCGGTGGTGGCGTAATATCGAAACGATGTCACGTCATGCGTAAAAAATAACGATATCGTTGGCTACAATAGTAGAGAGTATATGTATATATAACGTGTAATGTCAGGAAAAAAAAATCATACGGAAAAAATCCGATATTATTGTCTTATAATTAAAAATAATTCGTTGAAACTGTAGGTATTAAAATTCAGGGAAGGCACTACTTCTACCGGTAGACCCTAGGGACGGGGTATAAAATTGAAGTCTTATCGGTAGTTGCACCGTTGGTTTTGATGGGGGCGGCGATCGGCGTACTTGTCGGGACGAAACTGTTGTGTAGGTGAAAAACCGTAAAGCCGAACGGAACGAACGAGACGAAAGAAGACGCGCGATAATTATTATATCCAACGCGGAAATTAATATTTTCCCTCTTCATTTTCCGTCGATTTTACCCGTTTTTCCATGCGCTTCGATCCGCCGGTGCCCCGCGTTCATCATCCATTGGACGGACCGACCGGCACGCCCATCCGTGAGCCAATCCCCTCTACCCCCCGCCCGCAACGGCGTCACCGTAGCCGTGCGGGCGAGCAAACACACCGCCGGCCCACGGCCGTCAGTCTCGTTCGGGCATGCTTACCGGTCGGTCGGCCGAACAGTCCTCGCAACAGTCGTGGCACAACCGTCATCATAGACACAACAACGCGCACACATTCGACAAACACACGGGGTAGCTACGCGCACCACACGATATGTCGACGTGATCCGCGTGCCAGCAACAGACCGTCATCGTTTTCGGAGCGGTACGCTCGTTGATGGATTTCTCCGAGATCACTTCGCGTTGCAACAATAGCGTTGTGTGTAAAAATAGACTGTGTTTTGATTTCAAAAAATCGTGTGTGTAATTTGTGCGGCCGTCCGTCGGTCAACGAACATAACCGATTCGAATATTTTGTTTTTTTTTCCTCATACATATATTGACTTTCTTATATATATTGACTCTCTTATAACGTGTGCGTGCGTGCAATACCATCGCTCGAGTTCAGTATGAAAATCTTCGGTTATGACTGCGGCGTGTAATCTTCGGAACACAGCTGTCGTGTCGCTTGGAGGAGTGTAGCAGCCGCCGTATAACGCGTCGTAACGCTCATCGCGCGATCGACATTATCACCGGCTTGCCACCTGCTCGGACCCTGTCGCCGATCCGCATGTCCCGCAGAAAGCAATCCCGACCGGTCAAGGTCCTTGACGACGGATCCGAGGAAGACACGGGACAACCGGTGGTCTTCGTCAACGGTCATCGTCGAGCGTCGTCGTCGCTGGCGGCATCGCAATACGATGACGGTAAGTAGCAGTTTTTAGTTTGATTTTCCCTTGCGAAACTTTTTCGAATGGCAAAACAAAAATATTGCGCAAAATCGCGATTGAAATCGCATTGTTGTTTATAACTCGATTGTTAGAAAGAAATTCGGTCAGTAAAAAATGTTTCGCACGATAACATCATATCTGGTACGCGCAAGGACCTGCTCGTTTGCATTGGTTAGATAACTAAAAAAATAATGTCATTTAACGCGTTAGTACTTGCGAAATATATAAATATAAATTATAAATATTAAATATACATATTAAATGTACACATTAATTATACATATTAAATATACACATTAATTATACATATATAAATATACACGTTAATTATACATATCAATTTTTAAGAAGTAGCCGAAAATTATTTAAATTCAATTATAAAACCAATGGATAACGGGTTTTGAGATAGTGTGTATGGTTTACTCGATAAATACATATTTGCAATACGAGACAAATATTATAACGAAACATTCTAAAAAAAACATACTTGAAATTATTTATAAATATTAATGTAAAAATTAAACATTTTAACGACCGGGTTTTAGAAATGAATTCATCAATATAAATTATTTATAATAATATTTATAATAACGATATTATAAATAAACATGAATGTTGCCTTCGGATTAATTAACGACTGATTTTATACCAATTAGTATTTTTTTTTTAATAAATTAAATAATAAATAAAAGTTCATCATATTACGACTCGAATAGTCGAAATATGAGTTTTTTTTTCTTATAAAATTCAAATATACAAGTTTATTAGAATACAAAAATAAAAAAAGCATAAATTATAAATAGAAAATATAAATTTGGTGTCAATTCGATCATAAAATCATCTCTAATTCATAAAATCGTCAATCGAACAATATTTCAATACTATTATAGGAGATGATGATGATGAAAAAAACACATGGGCGAATATGTTGCTCGACAAAGAAAAAAATTTCGATTTTGTATCGATGCCAAATAATTAACATTTCGTTTGACAATAAATCGTTTTTATTGTATTTTTAACGAACGACAAAAGGTCGGCGGCGGCGGCGGTGAATATTTGTGCGATTTCATGTACTGATCGCGTATAATATTCGTGTTGTCTTTAAATGATAACTACTGACAATATTTATTCGACGATTTAAAAATGTAACCTATTCCTTAATCATTTAACTTGATATTTTCTCAGCTCTTGACCATTTTTACGTAGCGTTTACCGGTAAACACTACGTAAATTTAGTAGTAGTAGTAGTAACAGTACCCGACACGATCGCACAATACATCTATGACAAACGCCGTTTATTGCGAGTGAAATCAATAGGAAGGAATTCTTTAATTGAACACTGAATAATCTAAATATTATTCCGGTGTCGAATTCGAATAAAAAATCGTTTGTTTAAAAACTTCGCCTCAGACCGAAATTACATATGGCGGCGACTATTGCTCGTCCGGTCGCATTTTATTGTAGACGACCCCGTTCGACAACAACAGTCGTTTCCTAGTTTTGTTTTATACGTGTTACACAGTGAGCTATGACACATAATAATAATAAACCGACAGAGTTATAATAATAAAAATCGCCACAACACGCACGCCATAAACGTCGTCGTAGTGGATGTTGTTGTTGTCGGTGGTGGTGGTGGTGGTGCTGTGAGCGTGGAGAAAAGACAAAAATTACGACCTCGACCCGTTGAGTAAATCCATGAAACTGCTACACCGCCCCGCGTTACTACTATTACTACACCCCCCTGCCCTTGTATACAGCGTATGTACACCAGGTCCTATTTGTGTTATTCGTCCCTGGGGTACTCGACTCCTCCGCAAACGTTAGCCGCCGACGATGACTTTATCCCGTTTGTCTTGCGATGACCCGTCTCTCTCCTCGTTATGGACTCTCCGCGCGCGCTGTCCATATTATTCTGATTTCACTACTGTCGCTGTTGTGGCTGCTTGCTGGTGCCGCCGCCGCCGTTGCTGCTGCAGTGTTGCGTATCCTCGTATCCCTTGTACAACACGTACGCCCGTGTACCGCTGCCGACGCCACCCCCGTCGTCGACCGCGAGACGGTCGGAGTGGTCGCGGCGAGTTTTCCCACCGGGCTCGTTTTTTCCGTCTTTTTTCCACTTTTATGTGAATAACGCGGCCGACCGGTCATTGCACACACACATAACCGGGTCGAGGGATAACCACCCCGATGGTCCATCGGTCTTTATTACACAAACGACCGGTATGCGTTGTACGCGCGTCCAAGTCGACCTCCGCCGACTCGAATATACGCGCGCGCGGAGACTTTGAACGACGCGCGATATACGTACAAAATGCGTTTCAGCATTTTTCCCAAAACCAATTTAGTTTAGCGTATATTTTTGTATTATATCGCCCCACCGATGTCATCTCGGACCATGAGAAAATGTCGCGTTGGTATAAAATGCACAAACGACCGGGAGTCGATAGAACCGTGTATGTCGCCGTATATATTACTACAACGATTGTAAAAAAAAAAAAAAAAAA